CCGGCTCCAGACTGTACCCACGCAAAGTACAGAACAGCAACTCGCCGAATCGCGAGTAGTATGACAGCAAATGCTCCTGCTCGTGTTTTCCGTTCATTGCCGGTATTTTTGCACACATCAAAGTGAAGGAATATTTTTGCTATTCTCGAAACGAACAGTTGGTGGGAAAACAACACATGTGTGTAGACACATGTAGATATAGATATAAGCATTTATAGTCAGAAAACTGTGCCCTCTGGAAATTGTATGATTGTGAAGTTTGCGTACCCACTTTGTATGACTCGTAACTTTTTTTTATTTTTGAGAACTAACGTAAATATTGAAAAACTATCGAGAACTAACAAAGAACTAACGATTGGTATATAGATATAAGCATTTTTATTCAAAAAAGTGTGCCCGCTGGAAATTCTATAATTGTGAAGTTGGCGTACCCACTTTGTATGCCTCGTAACTTTTTTATTTTTTGAGAACTAACGTTAATATTGGAGAACTATCGAGAACTAACGAAGAGCTAACGATTGGTATATAGATATAAGCATTTTTATTCAAAAAACTGTGCCCGCTGGAAATTGTATAACTGTGAAGTTAGCGTACCCACTTTGTATGCCTCGTAACTTTTTTATTTTTTGATAACTAACGTTAATATTGGAGAACTATCGAGAACTAACGAAGAACTAACGATTGGTATATAGATATAAACATTTTTAGTCAGAAAACGGTGCCCGCTGGAAATTCTATAATAGTGAAGTTGGCGTACCCACTTTGTATGCCTCGTAACTTTTTTATTTTTTGAGAACTAACGTTAATATTGGAGAACTATCGAGAACTAACGAAGAGCTAACGATTGGTATATAGATATAAGCATTTTTATTCAAAAAAGTGTGCCTGCTGGAAATTCTATAATTGTGAAGTTGGCGTACCCACTTTGTATGCCTCGTAACTTTTTTTTTTTTGAGAACTAACGTTAATATTGGAGAACTATCGAGAACTAACGAAGAACTAACGATTGGCATATAGATATAAGCATTTTTATTCAAAAAAGTGTGCCTGCTGGAAATTCTATAATTGTGAAGTTGGCGTACCCACTTTGTATGCCTCGTAACTTTTTTATTTTTTTAGAACTAACGTTAATATTGGAGAACTATCGAGAACTATCGAAGAACTAACGATTGGTATATAGATATAAGCATTTTTATTCAAAAAAGTGTGCCCGCTGGAAATTCTATAATTGTGAAGTTGGCGTACCCACTTTGTATGCCTCGTAACTTTTTTATTTTTTGAGAACTAACGTTAATATTGGAGAACTATCGAGAACTAACGAAGAACTAACGATTGATATATAGATGTAAACATTTCTCATCAGGAAACGGCGTGCGCTAGAACCCGGAAGTGTGAAGTTAGCGTACCCACTTATTATCGGCTATAACTTTTTTATTTTTTGAGAACTAACGACAAAATTTGGGAACTATCAAGAACTAACGATGAACTAACGATTGGAATGATCAAAAGTGGATACGCTAATATGGGTACGCCAACTTCACGGACCTCTCCAGTCCTACTTTATGGCACATTAGGCTATTAAAAAGATAATAGGCGTAACATTAGTAAATCATCTCTTGGAAAAGTTAATGACACAGCTAAAATAGAAATAAACAATTTAACTATTTTCCACCTAAACATTCAACACCTACCATCCAGAATTGATTCCTTGTTGATAACTTTAGAAGAACTAAATCCAGATTTAATAGTTTTAAATGAACACAAAATGACTGAAACAGAGTTATCTCGTCTAAATCTGTCTAATTATCAAATTCACTCCTCATTTTCCAGGAAATTTGCAGGAGGTGGTGGTGTTGTTATCCTTGGTAGAAATGATATAAAACATAAAACTATTAACTTTTCTGTAGAGAATGTAATATGTGAGAAGGAATTTGAATGCTGCTTAGCAGAATATAGATTCAATAAGTTTCAGTTTTTGCTGGTTGCTGTTTACCGTTCCCCCAGCACTAAAATTTGCATTTTTCTTGAGAAACTTAACTATTTATTGACTTTATTGATAAAAAGATTTAAAAATATTGTAGTTGTTGGAGATATTAATATAAATGTTCTGGATGTGACAGAAAGTTGTAAGCTTCTTGATGTACTTGAAATGTTCAGCATGAGATATTTGGTTAACTTCCCTACGCGCATTGCATGTTCATCAGAGACTGCATTGGACAACGTTCTCACCAATATTACAGATTATAAGCTAAAAGTAGATGGTATTAATACACAAATTTCTGACCATGATGGATTGTTGGTATTTATTGAATGTGATAATGTCAAGGATGTAAATTCAAGTAAAAATAAACTAAATAAACATATATTAAGAGATGCTAGGGATTTTTCTAAGGATAATTTAGACTTGTTTGTAAAATTAGTGAGTAAAGAAAATTGGATGCATGTTTATATGGCTACAGTCGAAGAAAAGTATTCTGTTTTTTACAATATTTTTAAGTTCTATTTTGATCAATGTTTCCCTAAATTTAAAAAACGCTGTAAAATCAAATACAACAATTGGATTTCACAAGAGTTAAAAAATGAAAAATCAAAGATTATTAGACTGAGTAAGACTGCTCGGGCTTGTAATGATAAAGATCTTTATGATAAGGTTAAGAGATTAAATAAGGAGTTCAGAAAGAAAATTATACATGCCAAAAGACAGTTTTACACTAAAAAGGTTAGTAATGCTGAAAATGTATGTAAAGCTACTTGGAAATTACTTAATGCTGAAATCTCAAATAAGAAAAAGAATGTTAGCAATATTGAAATAGATTTTGATGGAATCTTGTACAGAGACCCTAAAGAGATAAGTTGTATTTTTAATGACTTTTTTAATAGCTATGTTAATTCATCAATTATTCCTCAGCTAGCTCAAAATGATTGTTTGCATGGGGGTGAGACTTGTCCAAGCTTTCAGTGTCCTCCAACGGCTAAATTTAAATTGAATGCTGTATGTGATAATGATATATTAAGTATTCTAAACTCTTTCGATAATAAACTATCAACCGGTTACGATGAAATACCTATGACAGTATTAAAATATGCTGGCAAACAATTGGTCAAACCACTTGTTCATATAATAAATTCCTCTTTCTTGAGTGGAATTTTCCCTGAAAAATTAAAAGTTGCCAAAGTTAGTCCTCTCTATAAAAATGGAGACCCAAAAAATATAACAAATTATCGACCATTATCTTTACTGTCATCATTTTCTAAATTATATGAAAAAGTTGTTTATAACCAATTAGTAACTTATCTAGAAGAAAACCATTTGCATGATGATGAACAACATGGATTCAGACCAGGTAGATCTGTTATAACTGCAGCAGTAGATTTTATCGATTCAATAATAAACTCAGTGGATAAAGGGGATAAAACAGTGGGCATATTTTTGGACCTGACTAAGGCCTTTGACAGTGTCTCACACCAGCTTCTTTTGGGGAAGATCCGAGATTTGGGTGCCGACAGCAGGTCATTGAAGTGGTTTCGATCCTATTTAACTCAGAGATCTCAGTATGTTGAAATGAAGCAATTAAAAAATAACGTTTTTTCAACCTCCTGCTCAAAGTTATCTATTATTCAACATGGGGTCCCACAGGGTTCGATTTTAGGACCTGTTTTATTTCTTTGTTACATCAAAGGAATGCCCGGGTCATTTCAAAACAATATATTTAATAAAATAAGTTTGTATGCAGACGATGCAAGTTTAAAAGTAAGCAGTACATCTGTTTCTGGTTTGGAATGTAACTCTTTGAATTGCCTAAAATCAATAGATGCTTTCTTAAACTATCATCAATTACTTTTAAATTCCAGTAAAACCAACTTTATGGTATTTTCAACAGGTAAACAAAAAAGTCCAATTGATCCAGTGATTAATTTTAAAAATTCTAATCTTAATCAAGTTACTACAACTAAATTTTTGGGCTTAGTAGTTGATGAAAATCTTTCATGGAACTCCCATGTTGACCATGTTGTCAGCAAAATCACATCTGGAATTTATGCAATTTATAGAATGTCTAAATTTTGTTCAACAGATATTTTGAAAAAGCTTTATTTTGCTTTCATTGAATCCGCAATATCATTTGGCATAAGTGTTTATGGTGGAACATCAAAGAAAAATTTGGACAGAATTTTAATTTTGCAGAAAAGAGCATTAAGACTAATGTTGAATTTAAACTGGGATGTTTCCGTACGTGATCATTTCTTAGCCATGGGTATAATGACTGTGTACGGCATTTATGTTTTCCATACCGTTCTTTTGACTAAAAATCTTTTGTCTGAAAGTATGTTACCTAAACTAGGGGATAATCACGAATATGGCACCCGGCATAGAAACAAAATTGCTGTTGATGCCCATAGATTGGAATTTTATAACAAAAAACCGTCATGTGCTGGAAGAAAATTTTTGGAAGGGCTTCCAGAGGGGTTGAGGAAAATTGATGATAGTAAAAAATTTAAATCACAGCTTAAAATATACTTAACAGAAAAAGTACTGTATAATTTTGATGAACTGTACAGCTGATATTATGTTGTAAGTTTAAGTAGTTTTAAGAATTTTGACGCCATTCAATGTACATACTTGTATGATTTATGAATAAAGTTATTTTCAATTCAATTCAATTCAATTCAATTCAATTCAATTCAATTCAATTCAATTCAATACTTATTGTAATAATAAATAACTTAACTACACTTCAACCAATGTAGATGGTAGCAAAGCTATAACCGATTGTTGTCAGTGTTTTGAGTTCAACTCAGATAACTGACATGAACTTTGTAGTCTGTAGTTGCCTCTAGATAAGATAAGATGTAGTTGCCATGGAGATATCAGTTTGTTTCTAATGTTTTCTCAGGGAAGTTAATTTTTTAACCAAAGTGACCAATAATGTTGATTTTATTTGAGTATTAATGAATAAAATATCTTAGAGTTTTCAACTTTTATAATTAAAAGACTTTGATATTTTACTCTAACTTTCCTGGTGCAGTGTCAATAATAATATTCAATACAGTTAAATAAAAGCTACAAAACATGTGCTTTTCTAGATACTGGGAAGTGAGTACCGTACTTTATTTGTAAATATCAAAACACCTGTACCTTGAAAATCCTACTAATATTATAAATGAGAATGTTTGGATGTATGAATGTATGTTTGTGACAAGTAAACGCATTAACCACTGGACGGATTTTGCTGAAATTTGGCACGATGATATTAACAAAAACAATTTGGAATTTTGGCACATTCCCGATTAACATATAGGCATTCTTATCTCAAAGTTCCCCATGTTAACCTTATGAGTATTCATATTAAAAAGGAATTAAAGAATTTAGTCAGCTGTTTCAACTAAAAAATTGGTTCTATGATATGCAAAAGCATTAAAAACTTACAAGGATTACCAACAGGGTGCAGCAATATTATTTTTTTTTAATTTATGACAACAGCTAATTTTCAACCAAAAGGCGAGTGAGCGTTAGCGAACGAACTTCAACCTGGAGGCGAGTTAGCGTAGCGAACGAGCTAACCTAACCTGAAGGCAAGTGAGCACAGCGAACGAGCTCCAACCCAAAGGTGAGTGAGCGTAGCGAACGAACTTCAACCAGGACGTGATTGAGCCATGCAAACGAGCTCACTTATGAAGTAAAACGGGGCAAAGCCCACGGGTACAGCTGAGTGAGCGTAGCGAAGGAACTTCAACCTGGAGGCGAGTTAGCGTAGCGAACGAGCTAACCTGAAGGCAAGTGAGCGTAGCGAACGAACTTCAACCAGGACGTGATTGAGCCATGCAAACATGCTCACTTTTGAAGTAAAACTGGGCAAAGCCCCCGGGTACAGCTAGTGAAAATTTAAAAATAGGTTGTTGTAGCTTACAAATGTGATACATGTGGAAAATCCTTCATAACCAAATACAAATTGAGAGAACATACATTGGCTCATACTGGAGAGCTACCTTATAAGTGTGATACATGCGGAAAATGCTTTGCAGCCAAAAGATTCTTAAATCGACATACAATGGTTCATACTGGGGAGCAACCTTTTAAGTGTGATACATGTGGAAAAAAATGTAGTGCCAAAACCAATTTGAAAAAACATACAATGGTTCATACTGGAGAGCGACCTTACAAGTGTGATACATGTGGAAAATCATTCATAACCAAATACAAATTGAGAGAACATACATTGGCTCATACTGGAGAGCTACCTTATAAGTGTGATACATGCGGAAAATGCTTTGCAGTCAAAAGATTCTTAAATCGACATACAATGGTTCATACTGGGGAGCAACCTTTTAAGTGTGATACATGTGGAAAAAAATTTAGTGCCAAATCCAATTTGAAAAAACATACAATGGTTCATACTGGAGAGCGACCTTATAAGTGTGATACATGCGGAAAATGCTTTGCAGCCAAAAGATTCTTAAATCGACATACAATGGTTCATACTGGGGATCGACCTTTTAAGTGTGATACATGTGGAAAAAAATTTAGTGCCAAATCAAACTTGAAACAACATACAATGGTTCATACTGGGGAGCGGCCTTAGAAGTGTGTTACATGTGGAAAATCCTTCACAACCAATAACAAATTGGAATGAAATGTGTTTATTGTCCTTAGAATTTTCACAAATTATTGACAAAGTCATACAACTGCTAAGGTTTATAGCATAGTCAGTTAATAAATACAGTAAGATAAAATATAGCTAACTACATAAAATGAGACATCTTACAATACACATTTTAAATATTACAATTGAATAGGTAATCTTATTCTTACGAAAAATTTGTGGCATTGAAAATAATGAAAGTGATTAAACCGCATAACCAACAAAGTCCAACAGTAATTTGGTCAATTCGCTAACTCTACTTAAAAATTAATACCAGACATTTCAAAAAATTCATGTAGAGAATAGAATGGGTTGTTCAAAAGCCATCTGTAGAATTTTGTTTTAAAAGTATTTTCAGGATATTTTCGTATTAAATGTATTAGCTTGTTGTATATTTTTAGTGAGATTACAATATGGCTTTTAAGAGTTTTAGACAGTCTGAAAAAATCGATGGTAGCAACGCTTTTATTCCTTGAATAATGAACATGAGAAATTTGTTTGATTAAGTTGGGATTTTTTAGAACATATGATACAGAGTCAAATAAATAAATGTTAATCACTGTTGGAATTTGTAGCTGAATGAACAGGGGTTTACAGTGTTCCTGTTGGGGTTCATAGGATATATAATTCTAACCAACTTCTTTTGTAAGACTAAAATTTCCTCTATCCTACTGCAATTGCCGTAAAATATAATATTGTATCTAAAAATGGATTGAAAATAAGCAAAGTAGGCTGTTTTAATATAATTTTGATCTATACAATGTAGGCCTATTAGTTTTGTCATAAGACAAATTACCCTTGAAAGCTTAGAACTTATGTAATCAATATGAGGTCTCCAGGAAAGAGTCTTTATCCAGATAAATACCAAGAAATTTCATGTTGACTACATAGCCATCCAACATATTTAATTCGCACGGTCTAAGGCGAAAAACAATTTTTTGAGTTTTATCTTTATTTAAGAGAAAGCCATTAGATTCAAATCAGATAGAAGCTTCATTAATTGAGTTTTGAGCTAACTCTTGAAGTTGTTTAAGATCAGGATTAATATTTAAAAATGTTGTGTCATCTGCATACAAATAAGTTTTACTAGTTATACATGCTGGGAGGTCGTTAATACAAATTAAAAATAACAGAGGACCTACAACAGACCCCTGAGGTACGCCATATTTTATTTTTAATTCTTGGGACCATTCTCCATCAATATTGACTTTTTGTATTCTATTGTTTAAGTATGACTTGAAAAAAGAAAGTGGAGTTCTGTTGATACCGTAAAAACTTAATTTCATTATCAGGTCATCATGGTCCACACAATCAAAAGCCCTACTCAGGTCGCAGAAAGTTGCCTGAGCAAGTGACTTCCTCTCAAAGACCATTCTCATTAATCAATTTATCTATTGCGTCTGATGTACACTTGCCCTTTCTAAATCCAAATTGCGAAACACTTAAAAAGTTGTTTCTTTCAAAAAAAGAATTCAGCTGATCAAAGACCATGATTTCAAACAATTTTGATACTACAGGAATGATTGATATTGGGCGATAACTTTCTGGAATGTCTTTTTTACCTTTTTTAAAAATGGGACAGACTCTGGTCTGGTGACCTTTAATTCATCTGGAAAGACGCCTTCAAGGAGACAGAGATTAAAGCAGTAAGATAGAGGTTCAGCTAGATTACCAATTATCTGTTTAAGCAAACTATTAGACATAAGATAAACATCATTACTGCTAGAGTTTTTTAGTTTTTTTGTGGCTTTCAAGTAATACCGCAAAGCCCTTACAAAGCAGAAGATTTTTTAGGAAACAACCCAACAAATACAACATTTTCTTGGTCAGAGGTCTCATCATCGGATATAATTAAAGTTGTTGCTAAATTAACAAATTCTAAATCAATGGATTATTATTGGATTTCTAATAATATTTTGAAAAAGACTATAGGTTTTATTAGCTACCCTCTTGCTTTTATATTGAATACCTGTATAAGGGAGGGATATTTTTCTCCATCCCTCAAAATATCAAAAGTAATCCCAATATTCAAAAAAGGTGATAAAAAAATGGTTCAAAATTATCGGCCTATTTCTGTTCCTATTTTTTCCAAAATATTTGAAGCAGTAATATATAATCAATTAAATAATTACTTTGAAACAAATAACCTATTGTCAAACTCCCAATTCGGGTTTCGTTGAGGTAAATCCACAACCTCAGCAATTCTCACTTTAGTTGACCATTCTCTCAAAACTTTAGAAAAGAAAGAATCTGTGTCATTAGTTTTATGTGATTTAAGTAAAGCTTTTGACACGGTTCCTTTCGATATCCTAACTAACAAACTACGTTTTTATGGCATCACTAATTATGCCATGCTTCTAATTTCTTTGTATTTATGTAATAGACTTCAATTGGTATCAATTCAAAATAAATGTTCTAAAACTGAAAAAGTTGAAACCGGTGTTCCTCAGGGCTCTGTACTAGGGCCATTTTTCTTTAACGTCTACATTAATGATCTTCCTATAAATATGAATACACAATCTGTTATATATGCGGATGATACAACTTTAATCGCTAACCATTCTAATTTAACAACCCTGCGCTTAATTAGTCAAGAGGCTGAACATAGAGCATATGATTGGTTTTCTGCAGACAGACTATCTTGTAATTCTGATAAATCACAATATATAACAATCAGTCTTAAAACAGAGGTAAAATTTGAATCAGTTAAACTTTAAGGATTTAATTTGGATTCAAAATTAAATTATGGTCATCACACATAAAATCTGTTTGTAACAAAATTTCAAGAGTGAGGTGCTTGCTGTGGAAACTTAAGGATTTTGTTGGTCAAGAATATTTAAGATTGGCGTATTTTGGACTCTTTCAATCACACATACTATATGGTCTTATTTTGTGGGGCCACTCTCCACATATTAATGACATCCTTTTACTCCACAAAAAGGCGATTCGAAGCATTGCTGGAGAATGCTCAGATACACATTGTAAACCTCTTTTCATTAATTTCAGGATACCAACCATAGTAAATCTTTATATATTCCAAATTCTAATATATACAAAGTCAAACTTAGATCAATTCTCTTTCCGAAAAGACGTACACAATCACTATACAAGAGGTAGGGATAAAATAGATATATTGCAGCACAGATTGGCAAAAACCAAACATTCACATAAATTAAATTGTATAATGTTTTTTAATAAGCTGCCTGAAGAAGCAAAATTAGTTTCTTACAGTATTTTTAAAAATAAACTGTATGACTGGATTGTTAAAAATCTCTTTTACAAAATTGATGATTTATTATTGAAAATTGAAGTTGTGAAATAAATATTAGATTTTGAAGAGTAAGTTGAAATAAAGCTTTTATTTTCATGTAAGTGGCTATTTAAATTTAGATATTTTGTACTGTAAACACTGAATCACCTTGTAACTATGTATAACAATGACGTGTCCTATTTCTTTTATAAAGATCAATGGAAATAAATATTTCTTATTCTTATTCTTATTCATCATAAAAGCGTATCTTCATTTTGTTTAATTGCATACTTTTACATTACAAATTGTTATCATATCAGCAACCAAATACTTAAAAAAAATACTTTTTCATTGAAATGGCGACCATACAATGTATGTATTGCCAAGTATGAATGGAGATGAGTGTAGGATGAAAGGCGCGATGTTGTAGTTTTTTAGTGACTAAGACCGACATATTCCTTAGACACAGCTGTTAATGAATAGCTCATACAGTTAAAGGGACCTACAGTTTATAGTCAAATAGGATCCACATATTTGCCTTGATATTAACGAACTATCTATATTAACAAACGTCCCAGTCTGTTTTTATGGTTTGTAATAAAAATGTTTTCTCAAATTAGAGCCGAGTTAAAATAACAAAGACATCTTCAATATCCAGTATTTGTTACATGCTAAGATAACTTTTGAACCCCCTTATAGGAAAAGGGAAATTGTTCAATGTAAAAGATGTCAACAATATGGTCACACAAAAACCTACTGTAGGCATCCATTTAGATGTGTTAAATGTGGAAAAGAACACGATACAATCAAATGCACTAAAGACAATTCTACTCCTGCAATATGCGCCTTGTGTGGAGGAGGTCATCCAGCCAATTACAGGGGATGCATGGTCTTCAAAAATATCCAGAGTCGAACATATCCCCAGGCTCGAGGAAGAACTACCGTACCAAAACAAGCTGAAGTTCATCAAATTCTGCTTCTTCTGACAATCTAACACGTCCTGATGTTTCGTATGCAGAGGCAGTTAGCAACTCACGAGTAAGTAACAAAACTAAACCCAGCACAAGTTATGATAATGTGAATGCACGCACGCCAAGTAATGCTTCTAGTGATGCATCCACAGAAAAGTTAACAAATACAATAACTTTATTCTTTGATCGGTTTGAAAAACTGTTTATGCAACAATCTCAAAAAATAGGTTCCTTACTTGACCTACTTACAACTGTTCTTAAAAAGCTCAATTAATGGTGAAAACCTTGAAGATAGCCTTGTGGAATGCTAACGGCTTGGCACAGCGATGCCAAGAATTAAAACTGTTCATTGCTAAACATAAGTTGGACACTATTCTTATTTCTGAAACTCACTTTACTGATTTTTAAATTTTTGTAAAATTCCAAATTTCAGTCTCATTTTCATTTTCATTTTCATTTTTATTGAACGGCAACGGCAGTCTATACAACACTAACCATCCTAGCAATAGAGCTCATGGAGGTTGTGCTATCTTGATTTAAAGTCATAGCAAGCACCATGAATTGCCAAAATATCAGTTCGATTTCATCCAAAGTTCATCTGTTGTAGTGGAGTTTGAGACAGGCCCACTTACTATAAGTTCTATTTACTGCCCACCTAGACACAACATTACACATCAACAGTTTAATGATTTCTTCTGCACTTTAGGCTGTAAATTCAACTCCTAGGGGTCGACAACTATTGCAGTCAATCCAAGAAAGGAACCTTGATACTCTATCGACAGGTGAACCGACATATTGGCCCTCTGATCGTCAAAAAATACCAGACCTTCTTGATTTTTTTGTTACAAAAGGTGTATCCCGAGATTGTGTGACAATCGAGCAATCTCTGGACCTCTCCTCAGACCACTCACCTGTAATTTTAACGATCGCTTCAAATGTTATATTCAAACCTATTCCACCACATTTATGCAACAAAAATACAGATTGTAATTTTTTTTGTGAATTAGTGGATCAAAATTTAAAGATTTCTGTGTGTTTGAAGAGCGAAGAAGATTTGAATCTTGCTGTTGAACATTTCAACAAAACAATTCAAGACTCCGCTTGGAGAGCAACTCCAGACCAGAATAAACATAATTTAAAATCAGGAATAAGCTATCCAATTGAAATTAATAGGAAAATTGCCGAAAAACGCCGACTCCGTAGAATATGGCAAAACTCTAGAGACCAGACGGATAAAATAAATCCAAACAGGGCCACTCAATAACTAAAAAGGTTACTGTTTAAATTAAACAATGACAGATTTCACATCAAACCTTTCTCCATCTGAAACTAGTGACTACTTCAGCTTTGGAAAGTTACAAAAAACTTAAAACGTCCACAAATTTGCATTTCACCTATTCTAAAAGAAGACGGTTCTTGGGCCAAAAACAACATTGAGAAAGCAGCTTCATACTTCAAGGAAGTGTTCAAGCCATATAATATTAATTCAAATGTTGAACAAGAAATTTTGGAATTCCTCAATTCTCCAAATCAACTTGATTTACCAATAAAATTGTTCACACCATCTGAAGTAGCTAAAGTACGGTAATAAAAGACGATTTAAACGGCAAAAAAGCCCCCGGTTATGATCTGATAACAGGTTAAGTGTTGAAAGAGCTTCTTAAAAAAGGAATAGTTTTCCTTACAGTACTTTTCAATGCAGTTTTACGACTTGAATACTTCCCAATACAGTGGAAGGTTTCACAAATTGTTGTTATTCCGAAACCAGGTAAACCTGTAAATCAAGCATCCTCGTATCGGCCTATATCTCTTCTTCCTGTGGTTTCTAAAGCTTTTGAAAAACCTTTTTCAAAAAGACTCCAAATTATAATTGATGAAAAAGAATTGTTGCCTTCCCATCAGTTTGGATTCCGCCGAAGGCATTCCACCATTGAGCAAGTGCATAGAATAGTGAATGTAATCAAGGAAGATATTGAAAATAAACGTTTTTGTTCATCTGCTTTTTTGTTCGTAGCCCAGGCGTTTGATAAAGTCTGGCACACAGGATTATTGTTCAAAATTAAAACTGTGCTGCCCCATACATACTATGGAGTGTTGAAATCGTATTTGTCCAAATGCTTTTTTCAAATTAAATATCAAGATATAGTTACAGATATGCATGAAATTGAATCAGGTGTACCACAAGGCAGTGTTCTTGGACCTATTTTTTATATTTTGTTCACTTATGACCTTCCAAATACTCAGGGTATTACGGTTGCAACATTTGCAGACGACACTGTTTTTTTATCATCTAATCAGGATCCTATTCTGGCATCATCAAACCTTCAGGCTGCATTAGACGATTTGTCTCAGTGGCTACAGAATTGGAAAATTAAAGTAAATGAAACAAAATCTGTTCAAGTTACATTTACTATGTCTACAAGAACTTGTCCCCCAGTAACATTGAATAATGTCATGCTTCCACAATCCAACGAAGTTAAGTACCTTGGTATGCATCTCGACAGACGGCTTACGTGGCATTCACATATTTGGAACAAACGACTTCATTTTAATTTAAAAACAAACAAACTGAATTGGCTCATTGGTCGAAGTTCAAAATTATCTGTTGAAAATAAATTACTTTTATACAAAATTATATTGAAACCTATTTGGACCTACAGTACCCAACTCTGGGGAACCACTTCCAACTCAAACATAGAAATAGTAAAAAAAAAATTTACAAGCACCTTGGTTTGTCACAAATAAAGTAATTCATCAAGATACAAATTTACCATATGTTAGAGAAGAAATAAAAAAATAAAGAGAAAAACATCAACGAAAATTAGAAAGCCATCCAAATTTCCTGGCAGTTAACCTCCTCGATAATAGTGAAGCTACATATAGGCTCAAAAGATTTAATCCAATAGACCTTCCAAATCGTTTTTAGTTAAACTTTTTAAAAGTTTTTGTATGTTAGTGCACTTGATGGAGTGTAACTAACCCATGTTAAAATGGTTATTAAATTTACTTATTGTTCTAGTATAGAATAGATTGTAAATAAATACTTGTTAAAAAAAAATTATCAAATAAATGGTTATGTTATTGTTTTAACTACTAAGCCCAATTAACCACATCCGAACAAGCCTCGGTCCCCCAGTACTGAGAATAAACAGAAGGGGAAAAGTAAAACAACCAAATATAGAGGGCTTTATAAATAAAATCAAATACAACAGCTGACTCTTTTATTCTATATTTTAAATCTGGTGCCAGTTTCATAAAACCCCTGTAATACAGTGCCTGAAAATTGTAATTTACAATATCCTGTAAAATTAGGTTTCACAATAGTTATTTGTGTAACTAGTGGTGAAAGTGGCACTTTGCTGCACACGAAAGCAATGTTTACGCACAAGCCGCAGGCGAGTGCGGAATGATCTCGAGTGCAGCAAAGGCCTTTTTCACTCGTGTTACACATTATATTTTTCCTACAGTCACTATAAAGTATATAAATAATTAGTCTTTCAAACACTATACAACACGTTTTTAGGTTCAGCTGGCAACACAAATAGGTGCCCTAGAGAAAGTAGTACGCGCGGTCCGTATCACTCCGCTATTTTTCCTCGGCAAGAAATGTGCTCCGCGTTTTAAGAATATGATATAGTTCCGTATGTTTTTGTAATTTGAAGTGGTTTCCGCGCCTAAAAAAAAAAACGCTTTAAATGTATTTTCTTGTTTATTAAGATCGTAGGAATGTTTTAAAAACGTTTATAAGAAAAGTCCAGAAAGTTCAGAAATACCGAAACTATAAACACGAAATGACAGGTTAAATCGTAGTCATAATAGTCAATCAGCTGCTCATAGTATTATTATCTTTAAGTGTTGCCAACCTATTTCCAAGCGTACACGGATTACGTGCATAATAGAACCACGCTGTTTTGTGTTGTTTCGTTGGAATCCTGATGTGCGGCAAAGTATAAACCGTACGGAAAAGTATAAACCATACGGCAAAGTATAAATATGCAGCAATTAGCAGCTTTCTGTACTATAAACAGTACAAGGAAGCCAACTTTGTCGGGTGACTGTAGGAAAAAATAATTTTAGTCTTGTAAAATCCCCTGTAATATTTACCTGTATCATAAGTTCCTGTATTTTAACACACAGCTGTTACTGGTATTAGCGAATTTCCCTATAGGGAAGTAGCTATTACCGTAGGTGGCATGGTAAGACCTAGACCCGGGACCGATTTACTTTTTCATTTTGATGTCCCCAGAGGCCAAAAACACCATTCGTTCAAATTTTTATACATGTATATATATATAGACTTATATATATATATATACGTCCGTGAATGCGATAACTTGAGTAATTTTTGTCCGATTTTGATGAAATTTGGTTTAAAGGTGTAAAGTGGGATAAACTTGAATGAGTTCGCGAACCAGCACGATCGGACCATGGGAACGGGGCTTTACGGGGGGTTTTATGGGGTAAAAATTGGTTTTTCTCACTTTTGACCCTCAAAACACAAAATTTCCCGATTTCTCTTCAGACCTTTTTAAAGAGCTGAAAAAAACAAATAATTTAGTATATAAAAGTATTCTTGTTCGATTATTAGTATCGGAGAAAATTAAAAAAATTGTAAATTTAAAATTCCCATGTTATTCTTATGAAGAATATTGTCAAATGTTGTAGTTTGCTTGTTTATGAATATATTTTGATCAAACTTGGCAAATTTATTTATTTTGTACTAAGCTATCAATATTTTACTCAAAAACACACTTTATTAGTTTCCTTGTAGCAGCAAACCTAGGTACTCGTTAAACTTAATGTTATTAAAATATATTTAACTGAAAATCAATTCAGACAAATGGAAATTCGCTTAGTCGGCAGGTTTGCTGCGGCGGGGGTATTTTTAAATATGGTTTTGGTATATGTATGGTTCTTAATAAGAATTTTTATGTAACTGCCTTTGATTGTGAGTGAGTTGTTCTAAAATTCAGTTATGGCTTAATGTACAGAAAAATCCACCGTTCGCAGCAAACCGTATTGATTATAGAAATTTCAACTAGTGTGATTGGACATTAAAATATTTCCATAAACAAGTCATATTTAATCTCTATTCAAGTAACATTAGAGTACAATGAGGACTTGGGTTTGATGCTGCGTGAAATGGAAAAGTGTTTTTTTAAAATTAATAATATAGAATATAGGATGAAATAAATACATTTGCCAAATTTAATCAAAATATAGCATAAACAAGCACTGGCTAGGATTTTTAATACTGTATACCGTTTTTCCTTGATTGTACAACAATGTTTATTAGACCTATAAAAAATTGTTTTTCTTTTAGCGAATTTTCCATGTAGGGAATAAGCTATTACCGTAGTAGGCCTACTCATGGTAAGCCTGGACCCGGGACTGATTGAATTTTTTTTTTTTTTGAGGTCCCTAGAGGCCAAAAACATTATCCGTTCAAATTTATTTATATATGTATATGTATATATATATATATATATATATAGGTCCGTTAGTGCGATAACTCGAGCAAAAATGATCCGATTTTGATGAAATTCGGTACAAACGTGTAAACCGACGTTTATTCGAACGAGTTCGCGAACCAGCATAATCGGACCATGGGAACGGGAGTTTATGGGGGGTTTTATGGGGTTTCCCCATTTTTTAGAGCTTAAAAAATAAATAATTTATTATATTGAAGCAGTGTTGTATGCCTAACAATCACGGATAAAATTAAAAAATAGTGTAATTTAAAATTCCCATGTTATTCTTATGGAGAAAATGAAAACTTTTGTAGTTTACTTGTTTATGGATATATATTGATGAAATTTAGCAAATTTATTTATTATCGTATTGACATATGGTAAAAAAAAACTGTTTACCTTCCCTGTAGTAGCAAACCTAAGCACTTGTTAAATTTAATGTTATTTAAATTGATGTATTTAAATTCATAAATTGTATTTAAGTTGGGAATAAAATATGTCTTATTTATGGAAATATTTGAGTAAAAATGTAATCAAACAGATTGAAATTCGCTTAGTCCACAGGTTTGCTGCGGCAGGGGTATTTTATAATTCTTTCCTTAAAATGTCTTGGCCTCCGAATAATAACAATATCGTCCTCTTCACTATAATTACCGGTACTGGATAGGAAAGTGAAATTCAATTATCAATTATCTATTATTTAAGATGGGGACGCCACTATGTGCGTATTTTAACCCAAATATGAGTGAAGGATGAGTGGCGCGATCTTGTAGTCTTGTTAGTGACTAAGGCCGACATGTTCCTTAGACACAGCTGTTAGTTAATAGCCCATACAGCTAATGGCAACTAAGGGACCTACAGTTTATTGTGGAATCCGAACCATATTTTTTCCTCGTAATTAACGAATTGGTCTAATTATTAGGATAGAACTGCGGATAGTCAAAGTACTCACTAGTGCGGACGTTAATCCACACCAGGTAGCATCGCATCCACAGTGCATCCCTATAATTATCCACAATTCGTGACCTCCTAGTAGCTGGATTACAGGACGACGCCACCCGTCCCAGTCAAGAATTCCCTAGTAAGATGACTCACAATGGACAAATCTATGGTACCATCCATTGTGAGTCACCTTACTTAGGGAATTTCACTTTTCAATGTATCACTACTTGATACTTGTAAAAATTATTGGAGGTCTGGAGATTGCTCAAATATTCCCCAATTTACAGGTCCTGTATTACAGGAGTTGCTCTTTTACGAGACACTACACTGAAGATGTCCTGTATTATTTACTTGTAATACAGGAGAATGGCCAGTAAATTATTTTCAGGGAAAACTCTTTATAAAACACAAACTTGTAACTTTTACTTGTAATACAGGGATTTTCCTGTATTACCTGTAACTTTTATGAAACAGGCACCGATCTAAAACATCTCTTTGTATGTGCCCTTCTTAAGAGAAGGTTTATCGAAAAACTTATATTTTTCAGGGAAATTTCACATCAAGGTCTTTCATTCAAATGCGATTTATAGGTGTGCGGCTTACGGTTTTGTCAAAAGTTTGTGATCCTTGTTAGATCTAAATGCAGGTGACCCTTAAAAATAATGCCATGATAAGCAAAGAATGTTTGAAGTGACAAAAATGTTTAAAGGGGTAGAAAGAGTTAAAATACAAGATGTTATACAGTACTACTAATTCAGATACAATATTTTTGAATGGCGTGTACAACCCTGATTTTGGAGCAGTATAGATATTTATGAGCTAGTATAAACTATGTTATACTAGCAGAGTACCCGTCCTTCGTACGGAGTTGGCATATAAGTATAAAATGCTTATTGCAGTTATGCTCAAGCTTTGTGTTTGCAATGAGGGAGGACACAGTTTGATAAAATATGGTTCTTTAAATTTACAGTATTCTATAGTACTAGTGTCCCTGTTGCAGGTGTAGTATTACAGGTGTTTTTTTATAACGAATAACAGTCATAATTTCTGATGACTTTAAAAGATTAGACTCAAAGATTATGGAAATACTCAAGATGTATATAACAGATCAATATAATCAACATTTCTTGTAAATGTCTTATCACTTTTCAAGAGCTGATCTAGTTTTTAGTGTTTTTTTGCAAATAGCCTTACTCATAGCAGCATTAGGTTGTCCATAATAAAGATTATAAATAAAAAAATTTGTCTGTTTCTTCTCCTTGGTGGTGTTCTATGAATTTCCTATGTTTCCATAGTTTTCAAATCGGCTCATTCAATGATTACTAAGATATGCAGCCCAGTGTTAATTCAGTATTCTTTTTAGTATATCATATTATCCAGGCTCTCTCGCTTTTTTCCATTGCAATATTTACGCCAACCCAAATTCAAATAGTAAATAATTCTTTTCAACCAAGTAAGTAAATGTTTGTAGCAAAATGTTAAATAAGTAAACTTATTGACTGTTTACAATTAACAAATGTTCTCCTTCTCACTTTTAATTTCTGACAACAGCTGGAGTTTCATAACAATGTTTGTTTCCCATGTTAATCTTATGGAGAAATATGAAACTTTAAAGGGCCCCAGAGCCTCACTCTCTAATTATTTCCCTAAAAAGAAAGTTTCCTGCACAACTTCACGTTACGCTCTTTCCAATGACACCAAAAACACGTCAATCGGTTCAGTAGTTTCGGAGGAGTAATTGTCACAAAAATCCTGCTTGCGTATTAAATAAGTAATAATATATATAGATTACACATCTACCATAGCCATAATGTTCTACCACTTCACCTAAACAATAAAGAAAAATAAATTATCAAAAATTTGCAAAATATCGCAAATTATTCATAAAATTAAAAACATAAACATAACTGTAAACAATCCTACTTCGACAGTTAGTTCTCATTGCGTATCACAGTTTTTTGTTGCTGCTTAATTCAAATTAGCTGTTTTCATAAATGCAAAAACATATAGTGCAGCACCCTGTTGGTAAATCTTATAACTTTTTAATGCTTTTGCATATCGTAGAACCAACCTTTTAAGTTAAAACAATGCTTTAATTCCCTTTAAATATGAATACTCATAAGGTTAACATGGGGAACTACAGAGCCACTGGGGCAGAACCCGAAAGGATTTTTAAGATAAGAATATGCCTATATGTTAATCGGGAATGTGCCAAATTTCAGCCCAATCCGTCCTGTAGTTAATGTGTGATTGAACTTCAAACAAACAAACAAACACACAAACTTTCACATTCATAATATTAGTAAGATAAGATAAGATAGTAAGATATTTTATAATATCATTGATGTGTTTAGTCAATGATAAAACTTAATGAACGGATAAAAAAAGTGCTATAAATTGTAAACGTCTAATAAAGTATGGTCTTTTTCAGAAGTGGCAATAGACTTTCCCAGACATAAGGAAAATGAACTCAAGTACATAATACATCTCAGCTAAGCTTCATATATGATCAATCTCTCATTGAACAATGAGATTACAATTGATCATTACTTTGAACAATGGATGAAAAGGGTATCTTATTAAACCATATAAGGACGAAAGTCAATGATTTGCTGTGTTTAGCTAGAATTTATATTACATTAAAATTTATGCTACACATCAGTAACAAGATTCCAGCAAGAGATGTCTGAACATTGAATAAGATCCCTATGTAAGTAATAAACATTTTAAAAAATCCTACAAACAAGAAAAATATTTAAATCGACATTCAAATTGTACTGACTAGTTGAGTAATCTATTTAGTCACAAGATTATTTGATAAGTTCCATGAAGTTAAAAAGTGAAAACTAAACATGTTTAAGATCACAAAAACACTTCCTTATATGTGTCCGTTTTGTAAAATACTCGTTTCATCTCAGTGGAAAATGAGGAATCATATATTGGAACATACGGGTGAACGTTCCTTTAAATGTTTGATATGTGATAAAACATTTATGCATGTGACTCAAGTAAAGAGACATTTGTTGAAACATACTGGGGTGAGGCGATTAACTTTTAAGTGCAATATATGTGGAAAATCCTTCACAAACAAAAGCTATATGAAGAAACATAAAATGGTTCATACTGGAGAGCGACCTTATAAGTGCACTACATGTGGGAAATCCTTCATAGCCAAATCCATATTGAGAGAACATACATTGGCTCATACTGGAGAGCTACCTTATAAGTGTGATACATGCGGAAAATGCTTTGCAGCCAAAAGATTCTTAAATCGACATACATTGGCTCATACTGGAGAGCTACCTTATAAGTGTGACACATGTGGAAAATCCTTCATAACCAAATACAAATTGAGATTACATACATTGGCTCATACTGGAGAGCTACCTTATAAGTGTGATACATGCGGAAAATGCTTTGCAGTCAAAACTCGTTTGAAAAAACATACAATGGTTCATACTGGAGAGCGACCTTATAAGTGTGACACATGTGGAAAATCCTTCATAACCAAATACAAATTGAGAGAACATACATTGGCTCATACTGGAGAGCTACCTTATAAGTGTGATACATGCGGAAAATGCTTTGCAGCCAAAAGATTCTTAAATCGACATACAATGGTTCATACTGGGGAGCAACCTTTTAAGTGTGATACATGTGGAAAAAAATTTAGTGTAAAAAAAAATTTGAAGAAACATACAATGATTCATACTGGAGAGCGACCTTATAAGTGCACTACATGTGAAAAATCCTTCACAAAGAATAACAAATTGAGAGAACATACATTCACTCATACTGGGGAGCGACCTTATAAGTGTGATACATGCGGAAAATTCTTTGCAGCCAAAAGTGTCTTAAATCGTCATACAATGGTTCATACTGGGGAGCGACCTTTTAAGTGTGATACATGTGGAAAAACGTTTAGTTCCAAATACAACTTGAAACAACATACAATGGTTCATACTGGGGAGCGGCCTAAGTGTGCTACATGTGGAAAATCCTTCACAACCAATAACAAATTGAGACAACATACATTGGCTCATACTAGAGAGCAACCTTATAAGTGCAATACATGAGGGAAATCCTTTAAAAACAAAAGCAATATGAATGAACATACATTGGTTTATTCTGTAGAACAACCTTATAAGTGTACTACACGTGGAAAACCCCTCAAAACAAGAACAAATAGGGAGCAACATACATTGATTCATACCTTAGAGTGACCTCACAAGTGCAATTCATGCGGATAATCCTTCACAACCAATAGCAAAATGAAGAAACATATTATATTGGCTTATACTAGAGAGCGATCTGGAGAGGTGCTCCAGGTATGCAAACCTCTAGAGTATTATAAACTAGGTAGCGTTCGCAGAGGCATCCACAAAATTGAGCGGAGTCATCAACAGTTCATATTATATTGTTTTTGTCATACTGCAGTAAAAACAGTCGTTTTTAATGCACGCGTTTCGGGTCTTAAGTAGCAATTTTACTCTTTAGGGAGTAAAAATCGTTTTTTAGCCTCTATGGAGTAAATATCAGCTGTTGTCAACTCAGTTGTAAATTTCGATTGTAAACAATTGCATGTATCGAAAATATGTATCGATTCGTGCTTCATAATCATTTTTACCTACAGTAGAGAAGACAACATTTTTGCGGATATAAATAATAGGATAATTAGTTTGGCTATACATTGTTTTGTAGTTAAGGGGAGTAATAACACAGAGATGTCATTTTAGGTCTTTTAGGAAGCCCGCATTTACATTTCAAGTTTAAAACCTCTGGGATGGTCATTAGCTTTTTCTCAAATATGGCGTTACAGTTCCAGCTATTGATAATCTAGAAATCAACCCTTACAGTTTCGGATTCAACCATTTTGGCTAAATCAGTAACTGCATTAGAGGACTTCATGTGATGGTGATTATATAAGCAAAAACACAAAATACATGAGATTCTCTCAAATCTGCGACCTTCATAACTACTAAAACATAACTAACCAGCCAATTATCTTAGTATACTCGGTAAAAAATTGTGTTTTTTACAATATTAAATATATAGATTGACTTAAAAGCAATCAATAAAGCAATACGGTGAGCTCTCCGGACAGCTCACCTTTACTACTTCCTCCAACACTTCCTACGTCACGGACCTGTTTCCCTCCCTTCCCATAGCATTTTCGGATTACAGGTACCTTAATCTAATCGTCATACAAAGTTCCCACATTCCGGACTGCTCGCCTTTACTACTTCCTTCAACACTTCCTATGTCACGGACCTGTTTCCCTCCCTTCACTTAGCATAATTGGATTGCAAATACCAATCTATTGATCATAAACAGATCCAACACTCGGGATAGCTCACCTTTACTACTTCCTTCAACACTTCCTACGTCGCGGACCTATTTCCTTCCCTTCCAATAGCATTTTAGGATTGCAGATACCGTAATCTATTTGTCACAAAGTTCCCACAGTCCGGACTGCTCGCCTTGACTACTTCCTTCACCACTTCCTACGTCGCGGACCTGTTTCCTTCCCTTCCAATAGCATTTTTGGATTGCAGATACCTTAATCTAATCGTCATAAACAGTTCCCACACTCCGGACAGCTCGCCTTTACTACTTCTTTCACCACTTCCTACGTCGCGTACCTGTTTTCCTCCCTTCCCATAGAATTTTAGGACTGCACATACCTTAATCTAATCGTCGTAAACAATTTTTACACTCCAGACTGCTCAGCTTTACTACTTCCTACGTCACGGACCTCAAGCTAGTGTCGTCATTTTATTATATTTATGATCCATACCGTTTCTGTTCTAATATCTGTGGAATAATGCTATCAGCTATTTCTTTATCTACTGCATTCAAAAGTCAACAGCTGATCATATGGCTTTGTTTATGTGTCAAATACTGCTTCCATAAGGATAACATTGAAACTTTGCGACCCAGTGGGGCGGATTCCTTAGAGACTTTTTTAACGCCGTATAGATGTTGGCACTCACCGATATGGTCTTTATCCCCATGCAAAATTTGAAAACGATTGATCCAGCCGTCTAGGAGGAGTTTGCGTATTGCGAAATGCATAAGAGTCGACGTATAAGAGCTTCGCTCGTTCCGCTCAATTATAAAAGATTTGAAGAAATCTACATTGGTTCCAATGGGAGAGGGAATTTATGTGCATTATGGGAAATAAATAATTTACACCTAAGTACTATTTAGGGGAACATAAATTACTACATACCAGAGAGCAAATTTACATGTGCAGAACACGCAAAATTCCCGTTTACTTATTAATATAATTTCCACTAAAATTTTCCCTTTAAATTGTCAGATTTGTTTAATATTTAAATAACGTTAATTCAAATGGGTACTTAGGTTTTTTTGCTACATGAGGTGAAATGTTTATTAAAAAGTTGATATCTTAGTATGAAATAAAAAAAAGTTGTGAATTTGATTAAAAGTACATATCCATAAAGCTACGCGCGCACTACGGCGGCACGGCACGGACGGGCGGTACGGCACAGACGGCATTTTTAAGAGGGGGTGCGCGCACTAGGGCGGCACGGCACGGACGGACGGGACGGGACATCCGCAATTTAGGACAGTTGACAGTCTGCGAGCTAAAAATTGTGAGTAAAGATGGATGTAGATAAAGTGGTGATAGTAGGTTTAATTTTAGCAGAGGAAAAGGTGACAAGAAGGTGCAAGCAAAGATTTTAGATACACCACATAAACAGGAAAAGACTAAGTTTTGGAGAGTTCCACACCTTGTTTCCTGATCTTGTTGAAGGATTATGTGTAAAACTTATCTGATTGTTTCATAATAGATCATATTTCTGCCCAGATATTGTCACGCCGGAGGTTATTAAAATATTCCGGATGTCGCATGTTGTACAGTTTGGGGTTTTTCTCAACGAGAAAAATCAACTTTAACATCTATGTTTACAACACACGAAAACACTGCTACTTTGACAGAGATCAGTTGAGAATGGCGGATGTCCCGTGCCGCCCGCCCGATCGGTGTGCAGTGCTCACGGTCGGCACGGGCGTCACGGCAGCTCGGAAATGTCCTGGAGTTCTGTCTCCCGGACTTTTTAACAAACGGCGGAAGCTGCCGAACGTCCGTTGCCGGCCGTACCGCCGTAGTGGGCGCACTCATATGACATTCAATGTTATTAACTTTTAAAAATTGCCGTGCCGCCCGCCCGTCCGTGCCGTGCCGCCGTAGTGCGCGCGCAGCTTAAACAAGCAAATTACAAAAGTGCATTTATTCTCCATAAGAATAGACAAATAATTTCTAAAATTACTTGGTGGAGTGAATGAAACATCCCAAAAATAACATGGGGATTATATAATTACATTTGATTGGAATTGTTTCTGTAACCGTTAGCTAGAGACATACCCAACATGAAATATTGGCAATAAAATTGTTGAAATGTAGGATTTACACAGAAAGGAAGTGAATACTATTTTATAACTACAGTACCTAACTAAATCGAACAGAATCTTTTTTTAAATTTGTTTACTTTACTTAAAAATCAATAAAAGGCATGTCAAAATATTATTTGAGAACAGCTTTATATGTTTAATGGAGTATGTTGTCATGTAAAATTATTTATTATTTTATTCTTTTCTAGTTTAAATCTACTGGGATTTGTAAAAGAACTACTGTAGTTACGTATCATTATTGTTATTGTTTGCTTTATTGTTTAATGGTGTATGTGTTGTCATGTAAAATTATTTACTATTTTATTCTTTTCTAGTTTAAATCTACTGGGGTTTGTAAAAAATAAATAACAAATTTGCATCAGTAGAGCTTTATTATTTAATGGAGTATATGTTGTCATGTAAAATTATTTACTATTTTATTCTTTTCTAGTTTAAATCTCTGGGATTTGTAAAAGAACTAGTTACGTATCAGTGCAGCTTTATTTGTTCAATGGAGTATATGTTGTCATGTAAAATTATTTACTATTTTATTCTTTTCTAGTTTAAATCTATTGGGGTTTGTAAAAAATAAATAACAAATTTGCATCAGTAGAGCTTTATATTGTTTAATCGTGTATGTGTTGTCATGTAAATTTATTTTATACTTTATTCTATTTCTAGTTTAAATCTATTGGGGTTTGTAAAAAATAAATAACTAGTTACGTATCAGTAGAGCTTTATTTGTTCAATAGAGTATGTGTTGTTGATGCTATGGCCATGGTCTGAAAGTCCTTGTTTTGTCTTCAGTTGCAGAAGCAATGCCTCCAAGTCTTTCCATACTTCCATTTTTTCAATCTGCAAACAAATATAGTTAATGAGATATTATTGATAAAAAAAATTGTTATTAAAAATACGAAATTAGAATTTTAACAGGTTTTGATCAGCATTAAAACGTTATAACACCAAATATGGGTTTCATTATATAAATAGCTAACCATGACAGTCAAAGATGGAAATATTTAAGGATTTATTTGTCTAATTTAATTTGATTCATTTGTCGTAGCTCAATCATTGTTTGTTTTAACTGATTTCTTTAATTTCAGTATCATCAGATTCGTTCGTAGGCCTATTAGAATTAAACTAGGCTAAGGTGAAATAACAAAATATGTCATGAACATTTAGTGACTTGTATAACATATAGAATAAATTGGTATAGTCTTATTATACTTTTTATTAATTTCCCGTGTTTGAATGTTGTTTGGTATAACCTTAGCAAATAACTTCTTGATCAGCATTGTACGTGTTATTAAATTTACGGAAAGTAATTAAAAGAAACGTCTTATAGCACTAAAAACATATTTTTCATAAACATATGAAAACTGCAATTTGGTAAACAAATTAATTAGGAATTAAATAGGATTGTATGTATGCTTGCACAAAGATCTTGAAACCAATTCAACAATTTCCTTTAAATGTTGTAAATAATTTATTTCTAGCCTAAACACTTAATTGACCAAAGCCACTACCTGAGGAAAATTCTTATTCCACTACACAACTCATTTGAAAATTAAAATCATTTAACATTTGCCTCATGGGTTGCCAAGTAATTATTTGGTTGAACAAAATACCAAGGAAAAAGTAAAAAAAATATTTGTAACATAATATTGTGTTTATAACAAGCCAATTAACCACAGCATACTGGGTCCGCGGAATTGGCTAACTCTGGAACTCGCTAACCCCATGTTAAACGCCCTATCTTCAAATTTTATCGATGAGAGGAACTCGCTAACTTGTTCGGTTTCGGAATTGGTTAACTCCGGAACCCGCTAATCAATCAATCAATCAAATATTCTTTATTCAAGTTTAGACAATATGTCTTAAATTGCGTCATTAAACTAACATAAACAAAAAATTATAAACTAAATAATTAAAGTCATTCATTACAAAGGATCTATATAGTAAAACTAAAAATGAGTGTTATTACTTAAACAAATCACAAAATCGATTACGTCAGAGTAAAACTAGGTAATATCTGGAATTCAAATGAACGTTTCGAAATTACAATTTAAAAATTCTTTGATAGAATAAAATGGGTTTCTTATCAATAATTCTTTTAGTTGGCTTTTGAATCTGTTTATATTATTTTCTTTTTTAAATGAAATAGGTAATTTCTGAAGAAATTTTAATCCTGTATATGAAGGTTTTTTTGTGTAGAATTCTAAATTATGTCTAGGAAGGTTAATTTGAAAGCGTGTGTTATATTTACTTGCAGCGGATAATAAATTAAATTGTTTTGCAAAAATAATTGTCTCATAAATATACAAACTGTAAACTGTTAACACACCCAATTCAGGAAAGATATTTTTAACTGAATCTGTTCTTTTTAATTTCATGATCACTCTAATAGCTTTTACTTGTTTTATAAGTAGGTATTCTATCCAAATTTTCCTTAGTTTTTGCTCTGTAAATGGTGATTCCATAAGATATGTGGGAATGAAATAAAGAATAATAGATTATCATAAGAGTTTCCAAGTTAGAGCGGGACTCGCTAACTCCCAATCCGAAGTCTTGCACGTCGTCCAATGGGAGCCAAGTACAAAGATTGTTGGTCCAGTGTCATCGAAAGTGTAGTACCTACGATTGTATCGGTCGGTACCATAATTTCGTATACTACGAACAATTAGGAGTAAGAGCAATGTAGTCTATAAAATAAATATACATTCATAAATATGTTTAATGTTATTCTTATGATTATTATTCATGGGTGGAAAATGCATTATAGTCTTACCCTTACCAAAGACTAACCAAGTAAACTTTACATCCTATTTTAAATTTTGAAGCTCGTTTTTCGTGTCTAGTCCATGTCCGGTGACACTGATCCCTAGTGTCGTCGAAACTGTGTTTATATTATTTGATAGTTAACTTCATGATTTGTTCTCTTCTGTTTGGTTATATAACTAGGGACGTGTTATTAGTTATGATTAGCACGTTTTATTTGTTTAAACGACGTTTTAAAAGACTGAAAACAAGAAAAAATTGTAAACAAAACACAACCTCTACGGAGAGTGCACCGGACAGAACTAACAATAAAATTTTCTTCAGCTGATCCATAAGGATGAGAAACGTACAAATATAAGGGAGTATGCTTGATCTATGGTCTTCTTACTTAAATAGTAGTTTATTGGGATGCAAAAAGATAGTACTGCAGTAGGCCTACATTTAATTTGGATCTTTTACAGGTTGTGAAATATCTATTTTCGTAGTCGGTCATTTGTTTCTTTTATTCGAATTAATACCAGTACCTGAGTACCTGGGGACCGAGCTTTGCTCGGGGAAAATCATTAGTTTACTCTGAAAGCAGTCTTAGTATTGCAGATACATAAATCCATTCCCAAACTCCACAGTGCTCGCCTTTACTACTTCCATCACCACTCCCAACGTAGTGGACCTGTTTTCCACCCTTACCATAGCAATTTAGGATTGCAGACACCTTAATCTAATCGTCATAAACAGTTCCCACACTCCAGACTACTCGCCTTTACTACTTCCTTCACCGCTTCATACGTCGCAAACCTGTTTCCCTCCCTTCCCATTCCATTTTAAGATTGCAGATGCCTTAATCTAATCGTCATAAACAGTTCCCACACTCCGGACAGCTCGGATTGACTATTTCCCTCACCACTTCCTACATCGCGGACCTGTTTTCCTCCGTTCCCATAGCATTTTAGGATTGCAGATACCTTAATCTAATCGTCATAAACAGTTCCCACACTCCGGACTACTCGCATTTACTACTTCCTATGTCGCGGACCTGTTTCCCTCCCTTCCCATAGCATTTTAGGATTGCTAATACATTAATCTAATCGTAATAAACAGTTCCCACACTCCAGACAGCTCACCTTGACTACTTCCTTCACCACTTCCTACACCACGGACCTGTTTCCCTCCCTTCCCATAGTATTTCAGGATTGGAAATACCTTAATCTAATCGTCACAAACAGTTCCCACACTCCGGACAGCTCGTCTTGACTACTTCCTTCACCACTTCCTAAGTCGTGGACCTGTTTTCCTCCCTTCCCATAGCTTTTTAAGATTGCAAATACCTTAATCTAATCGTCATAAACAGTTCCCACACTCCGGACAGCTCGGATTGACTATTTCCCTCACCACTTCCTACATCGCGGACCTGTTTTCCTCCGTTCCCATAGCATTTTAGGATTGCAGATACCTTAATCTAATCGTCATAAACAGTTCCCACACTCCGGACTACTCGCATTTACTACTTCCTATGTCGCGGACCTGTTTCCCTCCCTTCCCATAGCATTTTAGGATTGCTAATACATTAATCTAATCGTAATAAACAGTTCCCACACTCCAGACAGCTCACCTTGACTACTTCCTTCACCACTTCCTACACCACGGACCTGTTTCCCTCCCTTCCCATAGTATTTCAGGATTGGAAATACCTTAATCTAATCGTCACAAACAGTTCCCACACTCCGCACAGCTCGTCTTGACTACTTCCTTCACCACTTCCTAAGTCGTGGACCTGTTTTCCTCCCTTCCCATAGCTTTTTAAGATTGCAAATACCTTAATCCAATCGTCATAAACAGTTCCTACACTCCGGACTACTCGCCTTGACTACTTCCTTCACCTCTTCCTAAGTCGCGGACCAAATCAAAATCAAATCAAATCAAATCAATTTATTGACACAAATAACGTTACATTGGGTGCTTATAGCAGTAACTGGTGTCTTGTCAATTACATAAATCTTAATAATAAAATACAATGGAAAAAACATTTTACATAAAACATAGAAGATTACTATAACAATAAAAATGTACAATGACTAACCCAAGGAGGTGTCTGCTAAAAAGTCTGAGATGGAATAATAAACCTTATCCAGTAGAATTTCTTTAATTTTAACTTTAAAAACATTTACTGCCAATTGTTTAAATTTATTCGGCAAATGGTTGTACAGCTTCAGGCCTGTATAAAAAGGACATTTTTCAAATTTTGTTGTCCAATGGATTGGGTAACTGTAAAGGTTCTTGTTCCTAGTGTTGTATTTATTTTTTATTAAGAACTTTTCAAAAACTTTTTTATTTTCATGGACATAATTAAGGCTTTCATAAATGAACAGGCTGGGGAAAGTTAATATGGACTGATTTTTGAAATGTTTTTTACAGGAAGCCCTAAATTTAGCGTTTGCCATATTTCTAATGAATCTTTTTTGCATTGAAAATATCTTTTTACTATTTTTTGAATTTCCCCATAAGGTAATGCCATACCTCAAAATCGATTCTACATGGGAAAAATAAACTATTCTGATAACATTTTTTGATGCACACTGAGAAAGAACTGAAAAAGCAAAAAAGAATGATCTTAATATTTTTAACAAATAATCAATATGTTCCTTCCAATTTAGTTTTTGGTCAATGATCACTCCGAGAAATTTTTGTTGTGAAATATCTGTCATGTTTGACTTTTGAAAAAATAAGACGTTTGTTTTATCACTGTTTAGTGCCAGGCCATTAGCTGTAAACCATTCACGGAGATCTTCCAAAGTTTTGTTAACTGAAATTTGCACTTCCGACATTGAGTTGCCTTTCACAAAAGCAGTGGTATCATCTGCAAAAAGTATTAATTCTGAAAGAATTTTTTGGGGCAAGTCATTGATATAGGTGATGAATAATAAAGGCCCCAGAATTGAGCCTTGAGGAATTCCACATTCTATATTTATCCAGTCTGAATAGTACTTTATTCCCTTTTTTATGATGAGAGTTCTTTGTTTACGGTTTGCCAAATATGATCTAAACCATTTAAGAATGTTACCTGTTATTCCAATTTTACT